CAGCTGTTGTACGTACGCATCACTTTTGTCAGGTGTTCTAATGTAGATTTAGACCAGTGGTTCCCAAAGTGGGCGATATCGCCCCCCTAGGGGCGGTGGAAAGATTTTGGGGGGCGATGAGGAAGAAGATGTCGGTAGGGGGGCGATAGGGGGGCGATATGGGGGGCGGCTGTCCAAAGTCAATGTCAGAAGTTCGAACGTTTGTTAGACGATTTGTACACAACACGTGCAGCACATGACTCCCAGCGATGGTTTTTTCTGTTTTTTTTTAACCTAGCTNGTTTAATTGACCCACTGCCGTTAAGTTTTACAGGCTGCTATCTGAAATCTTAAATGAGAAATATGTTGTATCAGACAAATTATGTTGATATTATTTTGCCTCGAGGATCACTTTTTAGCAGCCGTTCAAATCCTTATGCCACTTTCTGGTGGCACGTCGAGCTTTCCTGCGCGCGCGTCTGAGAGCGCCAGTGACGTCAGTAAAGTCATCAAAAGCAACATTATGCAACTCTATCGTTCAATACAATCCAATAATATTCATTCTAAACAACTTAGATTGGTCTGATAACTTTAATTATTGCTGTAGTTCCGTTATGTTACGATACACTTTGTCTTGTAAGGGCAATAATTGCAGCCATGTTCAGTTACTACGGTACAATCCAAATTCTCATTCATAAAATGTTGAAAAGATTCATCTGATTTTTTCATTTCTGATTTAAGTAAGTGGACTACTTTTCCGTCTCATGACATGCCTTATTTTTTGTAAATTTCAAACCGCTGCGTGATCTGTAAATTGATGTCGAAATTAACTCATTTACTGCGAAGAAATTCATGTCATGCAGTCTCGTTCATGCCGTCGTGGGCCTAAGCATCTTCGAATTTACCTCATGAAGTTTATATCAGTAATGGTACATAGCACAGACGGTTCATAGGTGACCGGTTCCTGTTTGATGATAATTTTCTATTGCAAACTGACGCTACGAGTCGTTCTCATTTCAAAGCATTAAACGTTATAGCTCCTGCAGGAGGTATAACGTTTAATGCTTTGAAATTAGAACGAGTTTGATGTTCGTCAGTTCCTGATGATGTTCGCATTTTGGTGCGTGATGGACGACTCTAACAAAATATTCATCATGACTGGTAACGATTTAAAAATAAAAAGCAATAATTTTTGGCATCGTTTCAATAAATTAAACATGAAATGCGTTTATTCGTGTTTGCCAGAAAAGTCGTTTTAATTCCCCTGACATTTGGTGCCTTTATAGACCTTTTTTGTTCTCCCTTTCAAAATTTTCATATTATCCCTCTAATTAAATAATGTAATGTTCCATTTGACACATTTTGGTAGCATGATAAAAACCATAATATTATAGTCACTGCGAAACGATTTTTCAAGACCTTTCACTGATTAAGGCCGAATTGAAATTGAGAATTTGGCTATAGTTTTGAAGAACAGATATATTGTATAAGACTTGATAGATTTGAATAATGAAAATATATACTATCCTTATCAAATTTTTTAGGGTGGTTAGCTTCTGAATTAAAGACGCCATTAGCTTGGCCAGCGTTTGCTTGCCCACTTTAGTTTGCCCTTAAATTAGCGGCTCTATGTGCGCTTTACGCACTGGTTGTACGAGCGAAATAAGCGTACGATCAGGATCCGGTCATAGATCGTGTGAATTTAGGGCATTCGTGGGGCGCGCGTTTGGCACCTGATAACTTCGGCATAGACACGCCCGAATCTGAAAAGTGCAGTAAAAAATGCCCCATCCCTTCCTCCCCTATTGGGGGGGGGGAGGGAGGAATCAATTGATCCCCATATAATGGGGGAAAGGGTGGGACATTTGAATCGCTGTACGCTTTACATATGTGCAGACTAGACGGAAACATAAAAAATGCATCACCATGGCACAATTAAGCAAATGGCAAGGAAACACGAATTTTCACCGGGAATAATATCAGTTGATACAACTTCAACCCCCACCTTTCCACATTACCCACAAGAATCTCTAATACCAGAATGCAAGATTCTCCCACATTGCCCAAACAAAATGATCTCTAATATGTACCAGCACTCGACATTCTCCCACATTGCCGGAACAAATCAGTGTTCAACATTCACTGGCACTCAATCATCATTCTCCAATATTCGACACCGCTCAATATTATCCCACATTATCCATGTACCGATGTACGGAACATCCGAACACATTCACCCGTACCAAACATTCTTATACCTATTGCAGGTACGGGTACAAAACATTTTCCACATACGGCAGAGTAATACATTCTCTCACCTTGATCAGTATTAATCGGTTAAACCTTCTCCCATATTATTCATCACTAAACAACCACATTTACTTCTGAGTATTCCTACGCAAATACCACTTAAATCAGTCCTCCAAGCTCTCCCAAAATATTTGAAAACAGCCTTGTGTATCAAGATGGCTCAATTTTAACAATTAATCTAAAAAATTCTGCCTACAGTGGTTGTAAAGAAGAATAGATCAATTGCTACCGTCGTGACCATCTAACATTGTCATGTTCAATCGAAAGTTCTGAAATTTATCCTTTATTTATTTAATTTATAATATTTAATTTATAATTTGTAATTATTCGAAAATAACCCGATTCATAGCACTTCGGTATCAAACCATAGCTTCAATCTGGTATCAAACCTGATGATACAACGGAAAAAACGTATAACTACAGAAAACGAGCAATTTGGTTACTTACGAGTTACGACTACGATTTGTATCTTTGTTTGTAAGCGTTTCTCTTGCAGCGCCTCGGTGACTGCCTGACTGATGAAGACTATACCCAACCATGAAGTCGAACTCTTGACTGAACTGGCATTTTCACACATGGATCCAGCTTTCTAGATGAATTAGAAATTAGAACCTGAACTATATAGACACGAGCAGCTAAATTACCACGCTCAAGCCAGAATCTTTCTCAAGTTAAAAATTTCCATAACTGCCAGCTCCAAAATCCTTGAAGCTCAACTGCGTTGTTTAGAATACCGGCAATTTGGCGACATGCCGACTATTCACGTAGTGCCGATGTCGGGTTTTTCAATAACCCTTTAAGAACAATTGCACAGGAAAACTAAGAAAAGTGTAGTTCCTAATAATGTTCAGCTTTTAAAATCAAATCTAATTTAAAACCTAATTCAAGTCAAATACCTCACAAGTTCAATTTTTCCACTACGATTACAGGATTGAAATGAGCGACGTTCGCCGTTCATTATGACATTCATCACTAGCACCATTAGCGGACTTTCGCGCCGGCAAAGCATACGAACGTGTAGCGTCTTATACGCTGCTCACTCCTTCCAGCTGCATCACGTTAAACAGGAAAAATATTTGAACATTTAACGAGTCTAGCAACAAATTTCGCCCTGCAAACATGATAAAGTTACTATGAGGAACAAGAACCGAAAAACATTGACCAGGTTTTGTAATTGAGGTTGTTTGAACTAATGACTAAACTTTTTAAAATTCGTTCAAAGAGTAGTCAGGTGCCTGAGCAGAGTTGCACATAATGTATGACACTCGCACCCAGTAACCGCCATTGACTAAAACGCTCATTATTCACGAATGAATTATGTGAACCGCACCACAAAATGATACAATTTTGAACCTCGTCTTAAAATATTGAAATTTTGTAGACCTTGTTTGAATAACCGAAGGTACATTGTTCAATGCCTGTCATCACATTATGAAGCAGTTTCATCCAAAATCATAGCGACCTGAACATTTAACAAAAAACTTGTAGTTCCCGAATGCAAAACCGAACGTTCATGTGTTGCGTTTTCTGCCATTAAACAGCTAACATATTAGTTATATATGTTATGAAAAGGATTTGAAATTTATCTTTTGGAGCTACAAGCATTAATTTTTTAGTGGCACATACTGATATAGTGTTTTTCTTTTCTTGCACCCCTAAATCATATTTCCATGCCTTCAAGCAGCCTGTGGTTTCTACAAATAGCAAAATAAATTAGGATAATTTTCTCCTATAATTAATGAAATCACTATCTAACTACTATGTAAGCTCAAAAATGGGCAAAGTCAATACTCATTTCGTATCAGCGTATGCGTTAACGAACGTACGCGAGGACATACATTGACGCCATTCCTAGAGCGGGTGATGGTCATGGTTCGCTCAAATACCAGTGTCTGACATGAGACAGCCTGGCTAGCTGCTCTTTTTGGTTATGTTACGCAGTTTCAGGCCATCGTGCAATCGACTTCCGCAATCAGCTCCTAATTTCCAGCCGAATAGGGTAGATGGCCGATTTGCACCTGGTTTACCTTTAAGCCAAGTCGATGGAGCCCAGGACGACCTTACATGGAACCTTACGACACTTTGCTAAGACTAAATATTTATATATGTTGAAGAATTATACCTGTTGTTCCTTGTTCAGAGCGTCTGCGTACCGAGACAGCGAAACGGGTGGAAAAATGGGAGCGTATCTCAGCATCTTCGTCTGGATTTCAGCAGCCTCAGTAGCCTCTGGGGAGCAACCGACCACGAAACGAATGCAACACTGCACCTTCTGCCGAAATCATGGCATGATTGAGTGCGTGCTTTCGTAATCAGAAGATGCTTGAGAGAAGATGCTTTGAGCTAATCAATATTTTAAAATACATATATATTTAATTTTACACACATACATATTCTTAGGCTTATAAAGACCGTTAATTTGACTTCTGTACTTGTAGCCAAGAGTTGAACCATAATTTTTTTGATTCCGTCTGCAGAATGGCGGTACTGCGAGTTTGCGACTATTGCTTCTAGTCAAGCCTTTGTAGTTGTGTCTGTGCATTCAATTTTAAATTATATAAAAATATAACGTAACTAATCAATTATTAACGTATTCAGGAAGAAGAATCAGCGCGTATGCAAACACAAGGACTGCGAATGCTTGCTGTGCCAGCTAACCACCATTTCGCAGCAGGTGATGGCCTCCCAACAGGCGTTATGGCGCAGTCTGGCGCGTGAGATGGCCAAGAATAAGAACTTCCCTCAGCATGGGCTCACCAGTAGACAGGTATGATCGATCCTGGTGAATTGATGTTGGGGAGCTTCCATTCTCGCAAAAAACAAGCGTACCCGACACATAGACCAAGGATTTTCTTCAATGAATAAACAGTTGAAAGTAAATGTTTATTTTATCAGGTTAAGCGATTACAGTTTATCAATGTTTTAATATGATTTTCAGGTTTGCAGTAAATGCCGTAACCATCAGAAGTTTTCCGAGAAGCGCGACCACAAAAAGAAAAATCAATGCCCGTTCGAGAAGTGCCCTTGTGCACTCTGTCGATTTACCGATTGTCGTCGGCTTGTCATGAAGCTTCAGCAGAAAGTGCGACGGGCGGGAATAACGGCCAAGGTAAGCTTTTGGCACGTTAATCTGAACGTGAAAGTCTGTTCATTTTATTATCACACCAATACTTTGCCCTTATGAAAATAAGGCTGTTCATATATATGTTACGAGTGTCGTGTGTTTATATTATATGTATATCATCTTGTGTTTCTCTTATACTGTATTTCTCATATTATTGAAAGTGCCACTATTCTCCAAGGTAGCGATCATAATTGCTTAACGTCTTCCCTTCGTTGCACTTTACAAGAGTTATTATGTCTACAGGAGATATCAAGTGATACAGATGACAGCGAAGACAATAGCGAAAAAGCTCAACAGAAGGATGGTCGTGACGTCATTGAAGGGGACATCTACGACATGGGGGCAATTGCTCAAGAAATTGCAGAGGCTGTAAAAGCGGCCAATATTTGTATAGAAAATTTGAAAAAAAAAAATTATAAAATAAAGTCGAATAAAATAAAGGGAGAAAAAAAGCAACAAACAACAATAACAAATACAAGCTCTGAAAATAGAACAGAGTTAACTCTCCCTAGAGAAAGTAACCAAGTCAACCGACCAGTTGACTTGGTGACTAGTCAACCAAGTGACCAGTCAACCGAATCATTACAGCCGTCCGTCACGTCGAACTACAACGTGCAACAAGGCACCGGGCTCGTCTCTAATTCTTGGGAGAAACCTGACAGCAGGATGTCTCCTCCTGTTTTCGTGGCTTCTTATCCCATCGCCAAGTATTGTCCACGAACGCCCATGCCTAGCCAGTCGACACATCCCCTCTTCGTTGTGAGCGAGTTTTGATTCTGATATTAAATAATAAAGATTTAGTGTGCGTAAGCAGTACGCTCCTTGAAATAAAAACCAGCGGATTGTAGTCGTTAATCACTTTAAAAAATATTATGCGTATGGAAATCGTTATCACATATGTTACGGAGTATGATTTCAAAAATAATTTGGCTGAATTCCATAGTATTTCTCTTTACTTTGAGTGAAAATAAAGAGTGAAAATAAAGTACGATTTCTCTGGCAGGTCGAAGCACCCATCAAACAGGAGATCAGAGACGAAGATGGCCCTACAGAGCCAAGCCTCATCCACCCTCATTTCCCGACTGCACTGCCGCCCCATACAGGGCGGGAACACCAACTGCATACAGGAGCACCAACTTCGCACCTGGTCCATTATCCCTTGATGTCACAAGCAGACGGTTCCGCGCCACAGATGTTCTCGCCTCCTCCCCACCTCCTACCTATCGGTAGGAGGTGTATCTACCTACCTACCTCCTATCGTGATGGGTTCATGTACGAGAAACTGTTTTCCCGCGGTGTTATCGGCCACCCCGGAGAACGTATAACTGTGCGAGACAGCATATGTGTAACGACTGCTTCTTCCAACGCGGTTGAAGGGCTTGACTACTTCGCAAGGATTGCAGAACAAACTTATCCTGCTCACCCGCCAGCAAGACATCCTCCTTTGTCTGCTCCTCTGGTTGGTTCTCAGCCTGGCATGGATGCGGCGCTGCACAATCCCATCCAGCCTTGCCCTGTGCGATTGTTGCCACCGGAGCTGAGGTGGCCACTGGGCTTCTTGCGTTACCCGACTACGATATCATCGATGTATCCAGAACAAAGTTGCGCTTCGTATCCATCCTACAGGAGAAAATAATGATACAGGAGCGAATAAGAAATTCATTATGTGTAGCATCGGAGACACCGGACTCTTTGGAAGTGTGGTCTTTTTTTTTTGCTTTTTAAGTGTGGCTTTTTCATTGTCATGAAATTCTTAATGATAAATAAGTCTTATTTTTAACAATTCCTACTTCTGATGCTTTGTTTCTTGATTTAGTTATTATAAAATTCTTAATGATAAATATTGACTAAGGATTTTCTTCAATGAATAAACTGTTGAAAGTAAACAGGGTTGGCATTGATTAAATCATGCGATTAAATCATTTGTTTGTTTTTTTTTTATAAAAAATAATAAGACAAAAAAACCTAACACCCTAACCTAACCGTACGTCTGTGCGTTTCCAAAGTCCAATGATCGAGCCCAAATATCGAGGCCTTCCTGAAAAAGCACTTGAAATAACTAACTAGATAATATCATTGTATAATAAACAAGTTAACACGCACATATAATCGATAACACGAAACGATTCACTTCTAAAATTGAACAAAGACAAATATAATCCAGAGCTATCGATTAACGTAACTCCACGTACGGCAAGAACACTATAGACACAATGATAAACAGGACGCCCTACTGCTGGAGGTCACGGCTAAGGTGATTGCAAACTGAAAATGAAAGACCAAAGTCCTAAACCTAATACATTGCAACTTAAAAGTAATATATACAGCAATAAATCTATTTCCTCTACAATTTACAAGTTATTTGCAAATTCGAAAATTCAAAATATCAGTGGGCTGGACAGAAAAAAAAAACAACGTAAAAATACATCAAACAATCTAACGGATTGAAAAATATTTAGCAAGAGCACTGTACGAAAATCAGAGCGAGCCAGAATAGCAAGTTATAGTCAAGTTATCATCAAAATAGTCAAGTTATCATCATTTCTATCAGGTTAAGTGATTGCAGTTTATCAATGTTTTAATATGATTTTCAGTTTTGTGACAAATGCCGCAACCATGGGGTGTTCTTCAAAAAGCGGTACCACAAAATGAAAAAGCAATGCCAGTTCGAGAAGTGCGATTGCCCACATTGTCGATTGACCGACAGTCGTCGGCTTGTCATGAAGCTTCAGCAGAAAGTGCGACGGGCGGGAATAACGGCCAAGGTAAGCTTTTGCCACGTTAATCTGAACGTGAACGTCTGTTCATTTTAATATCGAACCTTTTGATACACTATGATTTAATTATTAATAATTTTGTTGTGATGGCTCACACTAATACTTAGCCCTTTTGAAAATAAAGTTGTTCATATATGTTACGAATGCCTTGTGAGAATCGCATTATATTAAGATGCACCGCAATATAGAAAATCAAGTTAATACGCGTGATGGTGAGTGTACAGTGAACAGTGTTTTGCTAAATCTATGTTGATAGATAATTTTTTTTATTTCCAAGTTCACAATCAAATAACAGTAACGCGACATAATCATTCGAGATTCCTTCGTACCATTTTATTTCCATGTAAACTTGTGTTTCTACAAGGTTATATTATAGACTGGTTACATGTATATATATCTGTATATTATATGTATATCACCTTGCATTTCTCTTATATTTCTCATATTATCAAAAGTGCCTTTATTCTCCAAGGTAGCGATTATCGGACTGAAGTGCATTACAGGGTCATCAATATTTAGCGTTACATTGTTTTTTCAAAATCAATACACTCGCAAAACAGTCAAATGTGTCGTATTAAACCATGTCGACTGTTCTCCGGAAGGACCTAAAGTTGGCACCATTCAAGCATGTCAAAAAACACCAACTGTCTGCTCAAGTTGTTGACAAACGCCTCCAAAGATCCAAGATTCTTCTTTCCCGCATTCATGATGGCACGCTGCCAAACCTCGTTTTCAGTGATGAGAAGATATTCAATATTGAATACCACTTCAACTCCCAAAATGATCGAATTTGGTCAAAGAATGGGACGAAGGATCCCGTGTGGTGACTAGGAAGCAATGCCCGACCTCAGTGATGGTCGGGGCAGCCGTAACAGAGTCCTCAAGGAGTCCCCTCTTTTTTGTTGGCAAAGGAGTGAAATTGAATCAGAAGAACTATCGAGATGCCATCCTTGTTGGTGCATTGTTGCCCTGGGCACGAAAGCATTTCAAAAAACGCCCCTGGTCGTTCCAGCAGGACTCTACACCATCCTATGGGGCCAAATCGACTCAGGAGTGGCTGTCCGAGAATGTTCCCCACTTTATTACCAAAGATGTATGGCCCCCATCTTCACCCGATCTGAATCCTCTGGATTTTGGGATCTGATCATTCCTAGAGAGCAAGGTCTTGACCGTTCACCATAGCAGTTTGGACGCCCTAGAGGTCAAACTGCTGAAGGAGTGGGCCTAAAACCCACAGAGTGTCATTCGTGACTCGTGTAAGGCTTTCTCTAAGCGTCTACAACTCGTTATTGATGCAGATGGTAGACATATTGAATGAAATTGTGGGAATTGTATCTCTGAACATCTGCCTACATAAATACATTTTCAAACATTCACAATTGTGTTTCATTTCATAGTTCTAACCACTCAAAGTTGTAACGCTAAATATTGATGACCCTCTATTTACAATCGTGCTTAATTGCTTAACGTCTATCCATCGTTGCACTTTACAAGAGTTGTTACATCTACAGGAGATCTCAAGTGAAACAGAGGACGACGAAGACAGTAATAGAGACAGCCAGGAAAGAGATCAACAGAACGATGGTGGTGACGTCATTGAAGGGGACATCTACGATGAGACGAACATAGAACAAGATATTGCTGAGGCTATAAAAGCGGCCACCCTTGCCATAGAAGCTTTACCCAGACATTATAAAATAAAGTCGAATAAAATAAAAGGAGAAAACAGTTCAGTCAATCAATCGGGCAGTCAATCGGGCCCATCAGTCAATCGGGCCCATCTGAAAGTTAGAATCTTGAAAACAGAGTTAACTCTCCCTAGAGAAGTCAAGCAAGCCGATGACCAGTCTACTTTGTCGAAGTTTCGGGGTACCGAATCGTTACAGCCGCCCGTCACGATTCACAGCAACGTGAATCAATACCCCGAGCTCGTTCCTAATTCTTGGGAGAAACCTGACAGCAGACTGTCTCCACCTGACAGCAGGATGTCTCCACCTAACAGCAGGCTGTCTCCACCTGACAGCAGGATGTCTCCACCTAACAGCAGGCTGTCTCCACCTGACAGCAGGATGTCTCCACCTGACAGCAGGATGTCTCCACCTGTTTCCGTGGCTTCTTATCTCATCGCCAAGTATTCTCCACAAACTCCCAAGCCTAGCCAGTCGACACCTACCCCCTTCGAGGTGAGCGAGTTTTGTTTTCGAGCCATTTATTACTGTGATGAGATTCAATGATATTAAATACTACATAATAAATCAATATTACAACAGAATCCGGTTTAAAAATATTTCCAGTCAATCTCAGTTCAAGAATAAGGTCTGCATAGTCGTAATAATTATCACCATTATTTATGTCAATCTCAACTGGCATAATTTGAAGCCAAATATTTAGTTTGCTTAAGCAGTACGCTCCTTCACTAATAACTCGCAGATTGTAGTCGTAAATCACTTCAAAAATGAATATGCGTATGGAAAACGTCATTGCGTATGTTACGGAATATGATTTCTACAATAATTTGACTGAGTCCATTAGTATCTCTGTTTTTAATAATATCACTAGATTGCTTGAATCGCAAATTCACTAGAAATTTAAAAGCGAAGAAAACTCCACAAAAATTCAGCATATTTATATAGAAAACGTTTCGGAGACCAGCTCCATCGTCAGCTCGATAAATCTAGAACACAAATACAGTCAGAAAATTAATAAAGTTTAGAGTCAAAAGAAAAACCATTTATTACTGTGAGGAGATTCTATGATATTAATTACAATTTAACATATCCATTACAACAAAATCCGGTTTCAAAATTTGTCCAGTCAATCTCAGTCAAAGAATAAGGTCTGCATAGTTGTTGTAATCATAGCCATCATTTATGTCAATCTCAACTGGCATAATTCGAAGCCAAAGATTTAGTTTGCGTAAGCAGTACGCTCCTTGTAATAATAACTCGCAAATTGTAGTCGTAAATCACTTTTAAATTAATAACTTTATGCGTATGGAAAACGTTATCACCTATGTTACGGAGTATGATTTCTAAAATAATTTGGCTGAATTCCGTAGTATTTCTCTTTATTTTGATTAATATGAGATAACTAATTATTGTATAAGTCGTCATTCTCTACTAATACAATAATTCGCGTCATTCTCTACTAATCCATGCTCGTTTTTACGACACTTTTCTTTAACTTCACTTCTTGTTGTTTGTTTGTCTGTCTGCTACAAATCTTAAAATCGAAATTTAACACACTTCTATCTGTCCTATCGATCTGAAAGTTTGCACACTTGCATTAAATTGGACACAATGCATGAATCAATTGACAGAATAAATAGTTTTTAAAATTTACGAAATTTTTATATATTAAAAAAATTTTGAAATTTATTTTTTGTAATATTTGAAAATGAAATTAGAAATTCATTGTACATTTGTAACATCAAAGACACTTGATTCTTTAGAAGTGTTGTCTTTAAAAAGTAATTTTTAAACGCATATTATTTATAATGTCAATGGATAGCAGTCAAAATAAGTACGATTTTTCTTGCAGACAAAGGCATCCATCAACCAGGAGATCAGAGACGAAGGTGGCTGGCCAAATGCACCCGTCACAGAGCCAAGCCTCATCCACCCTCATTTCCCGCCTGCACTGCCGCCCCATACAGGAGCACCAATGTTGCTACCTCCTTCACACCCGACGTACCTGAACCGCATGCCACCATTTTATCCCTTGGTGTCACAAGCAGACAAAGCCTGTGCCGCGCCACAGATGTTCTTGCCTCCTCGAGGTAATTTGCCTCCGTTGTTCAGCAATGAACGTTCGCTTTTGTATGAAAAGTCGCCTCAGTCGGACTACAGTTCCATGTCTAAATCATTCGACTCGTGCAAAAATCGCAGCATTAGGGACAAGCATGAGGGCTGCCACCAATATGAGAACGACATTGGCGTCGCTGATCGTGATGACTTCAGGTACGGCAAACTGTTTTCGCACGGAGTAATCGGCCACCCCGGAGAACGTATAACTGCACAAGACAGCATATCTGTACCACAGCCTGCTCCTGCCAACGCTCTTGAAGAGCTTGATTACTTCGCTAAAATGCAACTCCAAAGGCAATTTCCTGAACATTTTGCCAGGATCGCAGAACAAACTTATCCTGTTCGCCAGCCAGCAAGACATCCGACTTCGCCTGTTCCTCTGGTTGGTTCTCAGCCTGGCATGGATGCGGCGCTGCACAATCCCATCCAGCCTTGACCTGTGCGATTGTTGCCACCGGAGCTGAGGTGGCCACTGAGCTTCTTGCGTTACCCGACTCCGATATCATCGATGTATCCAGACCCGCTCCTGTCATATTATCCAATGCTCTTTCCTCGCTCTAACCGGAATTCACCTTAGCGGCTTATTTGCATAATCTGTCCACATGGAGTGAAATAATTTGCTGCATGACATCACACTTATTTGATCTCCTTGGTTCAGAATTATCAGCATATTTTTTCAACTATTCATTTTCGTATACGTAATCGCATAATTCCTTGTCCAGTCTGAAAATTTTTCCCTGCTAAGAAATACCGTTGTAAAAGGAAAGTTAGATTCCATTGGCCTCAAGAGTCAATGAAAAAGCTGCCGCGCATCCCGCATATTCCATTTCGGTGGTGTGACAGCAATGGATGCTTATTGGTTATTGGATGGTTATTGCCTCGAGTTTCTACATATTCAAATCATTGTTGCAAATGTGCTTCTCATTTTGTGTTGAAGTTCCTGCAAGAACTCTCGATGATGATAAATATGTACGTGTAAGACTTTATGTCTGAGGTGTGTTTTATATGTGGTTTTTGCGGTTAACAATGTATATATAGTGAGTTCCTAAGTTTTTTTTACTGTAGTTAACCATCAAATAAAAATTTTCCAAAGGAAAAAATAGTTCTTAATATTTTTGTTGCACTTGCTTATCGCAGTTCTCAGATCAGTGCGAAATGAAGAGTCTGATTAGTTGATCAGAAACTAATCATAATGAAAGCGTTTCTCTGGAGTGGATGGCGTGATGCTGTGACTAGAGCCTGGGGTATTTCAGTCTCGAGTTTGGCGTCCAATGTCTGTTTATTGTAATGGGTACCGGTTAGTGTTTTTTTTAATCATGTCTCTTTAATGGTTTGATCTTTCTTTCTCATTTCATATCCCTGGACGAGAGAGCTGCAATACTGAGGAATATTTGAGATGGCGCTCACGAACGAGCAAACCTATGCAATTTTCCTAGATTTAAAAATTAGCTCAGTAAAATTTATGGAATCTGTATTAATTCACGCGTCAAAGGTTTCGGGTGGCAGTGATTTTTTGACTAAGTTATTTTTTACTAACCCAAAAATTGGCATTGCTATAGCATGTGGCGACACCGGTGCTTTAGTTCAGGAACGATTTCAAGTTGATGTTGACATTGAAATTTGTTTCTTCGGCACGCAAAAATTTTACTTTCACCACGAATCGCTTACGAATGTTTGTGTTAGATATAGATGACTTGAAAAGTTGGCGTAAGCAAAGAGTAACATTTCATGTACCATAAAAATAATGATTGCAGGAAAAATATTTGCATAACTAATTCCCACAGATTTACTTGCCAATTTTTTGTAATCAAATGAATTTAAGGCATTCGACGATAACGTTAATTTTCGAATGCTAGTTGTAGTTGTGTTATAATATAATCACTGCCAATTCAACCACCAAATTAATCTGTGCAGTATTTGCACCCGCCATTCTAGAAGTTAGTGTGATATTTTAATAGTCATTTTTTCCTACCGGCCATGTTTGTATTCTTCCCTGGTAACCAAATTTTAGGATGTGTGGGGAGCCCCAGTCCATTCCATGTCCTTCTGAAACAAACGAATGAAATACCTTGTTACTGGAGCTCTAGAGTTAACAGCGGTCACTAAACTTCTAGGAGCACACGAGTCCCGGATGTAACCCTCATGATTCATGAACTTTTTAAGCATAAATGTTCTCACTACTAACGAGTCTCCAGTTCAGGTGTTACGAGCGCATCATCAGCCATTTACACCACACTAGTCTCTGAACTTGCAGTTAGAAATGTTGAAACTTTTGCTACACATTCGCCTAATTCTTTGGTTACCAGAGTTTGTGTTCGAGGTTCGCGGAAAGTAGTCTCGCGAGAGCTCTAAGCGGGAGGATTTTAACGACTACGAGTAAATGAATTCTTTACTCTAACTTGAACTCTCTTGTAGTTCAATGAAAAGCTGTTTGTCGAGACATTGGCGGATGCGAAACAAGTCAGTATCCTATGCTATATTTTTTTACTTTCTTAGAGTAACTCATCACAAATCACCAGAGAACGGAAGTGTCGCACCGAAAAAAAAGTTTGCTACCTATAGTTCTGTGTAATTAAATGCTTGCATGCCAGGTATCAAACTCGTGTAAAATATTGCCGTTTCTTAATTGTAGTGCGCAGCCAAGTCCTTACAAAGTTGAGCTTTGTCTCCATCCTACAGGAGAAAACAGTTGTAAATACTTCAGCTACGGTGTGCATAACATGCTCAGTATTTTCCACACGTCTCTTTAACTTCACTTCTTGTTATTTGTTTGTTTGCCTGTCTGCTTCAAATCTCATAATAGATGTTTAACACACTTCAACCTGTCCAATCGATCTGAAATTTTGCACACTTTCGCCTTTTTCTATTCACAATACACGAATCAATCAATTGACATAATTACGAAATAAGTGATCAATCAGTGTAAATCAATTAATTCTGTTTTGTATGAAAAAAGAATTTCTATGAACTTTTATACTAACAGCTACAGAAAAATTTTATCAGATGGTAGCTTAATTAACGCTGTGTGTTGATATTATATAATCTATAAATGGTGCTTTTTAAATAGTCAAAAGAAGCAAATCTGCTTATTACACTGAGCTCTGATACGTATTGTAAAGTTAGTTGCCGACAGTTGAGACGCCACGAGTCAATATATGTTCTAGCGCGCCGATGGCTGAATGGCATTAGGGTGGGTAAACATGATACGGCCCTAGCGAATAAGAAATTCATTGTTCATGTGTAACATCGGAGACACCGGACTCTTTGGAAGTTTGTATTTTTTGGCTTTTTAAACGAATATTATTATTGATGTATTAAGATGGATTGAATATGAGAATACATCGTTTATGGTCAATTAAAGAGTGTGACTTCAAATTTTGTGTTTGTGTTGCATTAACTATTTAAACCCGAATACTTGTTTATGAGCAGCGCGGACAAAGTGAACTAACAGTCAACATAACTAAGGAATCAATTCAACGCATATGAAGGACCTTATCTCATCTATTCGAATACGTAATAAATTACGTTATAGTGACGTGTAATGCATTGTATATAGTAATAGTAAAGCTTTGAGTGTCGCGACAACCCCTTCTTTTCATAGAAAACAGTTGATATGAACGCATGATAACTATGTTATAAGTATACATTGCAGAAATACGTGTGAATGATTATTTTAAATCGCAAATTTTTAAGATATATTGTTCAATAGCATGAATGTACGTACCTCGGTCGTGCATAGCAGCTTACGTCGTCTTATCATTCATGATCGTCATTTATTTGCATTTGAACTTACAATACTGTGTGCGTTGTTTGCTATAAATCACTCGGAAAAAATACATGATTGAAATTGTTACAAGATTTCTCAGCCCGATTATATGCAAGAGCTTAGCTTGGTGTGATGCGTGCTACTGTAATTATACTCGTAGAAAATAGCTCCTCTTACGTTATGGCAGCCTTTCGCTGGAAGTCTTGATATAATAAATTGTTGTGAGGCTTTGATGCTTTTGCGAAATAGTGTTATTTTTAATAGAATTGAAACATTAGTGTAACGAAGGCTCTGATTGGGGCTTTGATTAATAGAGTAGGGGTTTATTCCGAGTATTGTTCTGAGATGGGCAAAGATATAGTTATTGTTGAATTGTACGGATCTAAATTTCACACTCTAAGTACATTATTGTTGTTTAGATCCTAACATATGGGCTTGCTTAATTAAAATAGCTGTAAAAAGCATTCATTGTTCTAACATTCAAACTGTGTTGAGCTATTGTTGATAAATCTCGACCCGTATGTTGCTCTTTATCTGTAAGGCTAACAAATTTGGCTAAGTTAAAATTTGAAGCATATATACAAGGGTTCTTGTAATAGGACGTTCATAAATCATTCTATAAGGTTCTTTTATTGAATACCGGTTTGAGTTCGCCCACTTTTGTTCACCCATTCAATGCATCATCCATGTTTTGTAGTCACATCTCTAGTCCCTGGTAGCAGCGAGTTTTTTTATTGATCATCATTTGTATGTATGTATAAGATGAATAAAACTTTTGTATCCACGATACTAGACGTTGGTGTATTCGCTGGAACGGTTAGGAACGTAAACCTTTTAAACTTCAAAGCAGTTCGTAACAAATGGCCCTCATTTTGGCACTGCAATGTGTCGGAACGGTGAATAAAATATATGGATTGAAATAATGAAGTAATAATTTGTTATTTTACGAAAAAGATCCATGAAAGAAATTCAGTTGCATTCATTATGCATCATGATGTCTTGTTTTTTTTAAGCGGTACCAAACTAGAATTAGGAAAAGATATTGTCTTTCGGTCTGTTCCGATGAATGAGACAATCTGCCACTTTGACGTTGACACAGGTTCGAAAAACGGCGACTCTAGTACGAAAAAGTGTCGTTTCACTTTGTGTAGCTTTTTGCACTTATTTTGCATATTGACTGTTCAGCTGTTTTAGTTTATGTTTTCATTTGCATTACTAACGCTTTTTGATTGTAATTTATAGATATATTCTTTTATAAAATTATATTTTTAAGGAAGGTCTTTACTTAACTGATGATTCGGATTCCAATGTTCATGTTTAAACATTATATTAATTCCTTTCATTCTAGTTATACTTTTCTGAATTTTTTTAATTATATTGCTGACGCATCTCTTACTGATTTGCTTGATAGCATCACTCGTTATAGTAATTGAAATAGACATAACTTTCGCGTGAAAAAATTGGTAAATTTTTCCTGTCCACGAACTGTAGCCGCTTAGTGAGTGAAATTCAAATTCACTTGCTTCATTTAGGATCAGGATGCCGTCTCTGTATCTTTTGTAAAAAAACAGTCCCGGTATCCTGTCTAGAACACATAACTCCAACGAGTGCATAAATATAGCAGCAACCTCAGGCGAGCATTTGGATCCTTGGGTCGCTCCAATCTCCTC